GGATAGATAGAGAGCATCCCCTAATCCACCTTAAAAAAGCGTGGATCCAGAAAAAATAGCACAGTTGCCAATGATGTTTCATGAAGTATAGTTTCATGGCTGACTCTTATGGTCTGAATGTTTGTGTCCCCCACAAAATGTGTATGTCAAAACCCTAACTCCCGAAAAGGTGGTATTAGGAGGTTGGACTTTAGGGAGATAAGTAGATTTAGATGATGTCATGAGGATAAGAACCTTTGTGATGAGAATTAATGCCCTGAAAAGAAGAGACCAGAGAACTTGTTCTTTCTCTCTCTGCCACGTGAGGATACAGCAAGGTGGCAGCTACCTGTAAGCCAAGAAGAGGGCTCTCACCAAGAACCCATCCTTGTTGCCACTGTGATCTTGGACTACCAGCCTCCAGAACTGTGAGGAATACATTTCTATTGTTGAAGCCACTCAGTCTGTGGTATCTTGCTATAGTGGCATGAGCTGACTAGGATACTGACATTGATGTCAGACCCTCAGATGGACTGACTTTAAGGAGAGCATCTGTCTTTATGGTATGTTCTCACAGTACATAAGTGGATACTATGTTGCTATAGCAACCAGACTTGGATGTGTCTCTTAGAAGACATCAGGCCATTGAATGACATTTGTCCAAAGGACAGGAATGGTGTTCCATGTTCCTGTGGTATGGAGAGGCAGCTGGATTAAGCTGGCGATCTTTGCTTAACACTACCACATGACGATTATCTCCATTAAATTTCCCTCTGATGCAATTACCCCCATCAAGTTTTCTTCTTCTGGAAAACCTCTTTTGAGCCTTCTGTGTGAGCCGCAACTACAAGACAGAAGAACTCTCCAAAGAGAATGCCTGGGCCCCTGCATAGCCCCCTGCCTACTCCCACACAAATGACCCACTGTCAATAGTGTGTGTATGTGTTGGGTTGTATTACTGTTCTGGCCAGTCTCCTTCTATGACCAGTGATGCTCTCCCTCAGGTTGGCATGTGGTTTGTGTCATCAAGGGAGCTGGGCCTATTGGCCTCATTAACATTCTGCTCCAGAGGGTTCACTGGCCCATAAGAGAAGGAGGCAGTGGGAGCCCTTCCTAGAGAAGGCAGTGATTCCAGCTCTGTCAGTATTATGTCTCTTTCCCACAGACACTGTGGTGTCTGTTCTCCCAAGTGTCTTCTAGCAGAGAGACCTCACAGGTTGTAGTGAAGGGCATGAGTGAGAGTCATGACTCCTGGTTTCTTTTCTCCTGGTTGATTCATAGTTACTGGGTGATCCTGGCAAATTTACCTTTCTAGGACTCAAATTTCTATAGTGAATATTGAGTTAAACAAGCAGAATCTTGCTTAAGCTCCTATATTAAGAGTCAGGTATTATTTTAGAACTTGCCCTCATGAAGTATGCTTTCAATGCAAAGCATAGGGCCCAAAAACACTTGAGATGATATATATACATAGTTGAATTTTTGTGACTAGATGATAAAAAATTGGCACTTGCCCATGGATATAGGTTGCCTGGTTTTCAAGAGTCAAAGATACTTTAGAAATTTTACTTTCCTAAGAGCTTTAGTTTGAGAGAGAACCTTTTGACCAACCTCAATTCAAAAGCATTGCCAGCTTCCTCACTCAGAACATTAAGGATCAGGTTCACTTTGTCAAACTCTACAGGTAAATGAGCATCATTCTCTGGTGTAAAGCCATCTCTATTGACAGTGCTTCTAGTGGCCAGTTAAGGCATTCTGGCAGTCCAGTACAGAAACTTCACCACTCAATCTGGAGCCAAAATGCAAGTCACAAAGACAGTTCTGCCCATTGTAGTAAAGTCACTTCATTTCTATCTTTATCTGTCTGACTCATTTATTCAGAATATATATGAAGATGGAAGATAGAGATCTGTCATTCAATCAATACCGTATAATTCATATTGCTCAGATTCCTCAAGCTTAAAAGTGGGTGACATCAGTGATTCTGTTTTTAGTAGAGTGTATGTCACTGACATAATTTTTTTCTCAGAGTATCATGACAAAATAATATGCAATTCATGGTGACAAATTAACTTTATCACCTCACTTTCCCCAAACGACACGAATAGCAACAATATTTTACTCTGAAATACCCAATTGGTTGTTTAAGCCATTAATTTGAAAGGATAAGATTGGCATTTCTTTTCAGATGGCTTTTTGCTAACTTTTGATAAGTTTCTGAGGCCACTGACTTAATACATATAAGTGAAGTTTCTTATTGCTACAAATTACCAAGTAACACTAACCACCTCAAATGGAGTAGTAAAGTGGGGAGGCCATCAAAGCAACCCTGAGCATGTGTCCATCATGACCAGGTGGATTTCAGCGGTAGTGATTTTAGAAGGATACTTCTAACAAGACCCGGGAAAAATCCAGATTTGGGAAGAGTTCAAAACTTATACAATTCTAAGAGGCCGCCTTGAGAAAAAATTTACAAAATTAGGAATACAAAATTGCTAAGGCTAAACTTAAGCTTCATTGGCTCTATAGTAAATCCAGCTCTGAATTAGACCAGCTAAAACCCCACAAATTGGAAATAACTTTTATTACTTTATCAGCATTTTATAGTACCAAGTACTGAAAATATTCAAGGTGCTTTTACACCTGATATTTCTGAAAAGCTTAAAGTATTTTATAGCGTAATGAACAGATGAAGTGTAAACTCAAACTGCTGATGTGTCCTGTCAGCCCATAAAAGGATTAGAAAAGAGTTAAAAAGCAAACGGGTAATGCTAACAATAAGAAAACAGCCAGGAAAACTGAAAACAAAACAAGGAAAGAATCTTTTGAATTTTTGATTAAAACGGAGTAGGTTTCCATAAACCAAAAATCCCAAATGGTTTAAATCATTCATTTGAATTGAGAACAATTACAAGACATTTTAAGATAGGTGTGTAGTGCTTCTTTGGCTTTTTCACTTGTTCAGTTGTTTCCGTAGTTGTTATAGATTTTTCTAACATATTCAAATAAGTACAAGACTATTAAAGTAAAATAATGCTCATTATTACAAGTTTTTTTTTTACTTTAATAAAGCCATTTGAAATCATTACAGGTATGAGAACCATTTGAAAGAAGCACAGAGGATTCCAGGCAGAGGGAGGATCAAATACAAAGGCATGGGGACCTGAAATAACATGGTTTATCTTGAGAATAACAGGTACTTTGGAGTAAGAGGTGTGGTCCAGGGAATGCCAAGGGATTTGACTGAAGGGTAAACAGGTCTCCAGATAATAGTCTGGTTTGCCTGGCAGAAGAGAACTTTACCTAACAGGCACTAAGAAACCACTGGAGCATAGTAAGCGGGAAGTGCCATGATGGAATTTGTGTTTTTGAAAGATTAATCTTAGTGGCAATGTGGAGAGTAGTTTGGAGGACGAGGAAACCAAAGGCAAGAAAACTGCTGTAATAGTTCATTGGAGATGGAAAGTAAGAGATAGTTTGAAAAATCTGGGAAGACAGTCGAAAGAATTTAGTGGATCGTTAACAATAGAGACTGAAGATTTGTCCCATCCTGGTTCTCCGCTGTAACTCTTGGACTGAGCTCGCTGCTCACAGATGGAAGAGGGTAGAAGCCTGGATGACTGACTGCCAAGTTTCCAGGTTGGGTGGTTATAATGTAGTGCCATTAACCAGGATGTCTGTGGGAGGTAAGTTTTAAAAAGTATGTAATGAGCATAGTATGGGACATATTACATTTGAGGGCCCGTAGAACGTGAAAATGGGTATATCTAGTAGACAGCTCAGGGGAGAAATGAGGCCTAGAAACAGAGATATGAGAGCTATCAGCAGTCACAGAAGAGAGTAACAGTGAGAGAGACATTTAGAAGGGGAAGAGAAAAAGGCCAAGGCCAGCACCTTGGGAAACACTGAGGTTTTCATTGTTAGGAGAAGGAAGACGACTAGCAAAAGCAACTGAGAAAGAACACTCGGGGAAGTGGGGAGAGAACCAGTAATGAAAGGTTATATAGAAACCAACGAAGGGGAGAGTTCTGAAGAAAAAGAAATAATTAATGATGTCAAATGCCTCAAAAAGGGGAAGCCCAATGGGATCTGTGCATAGCGGTGGAGTTCCAGTGGAGTTGGATGAAGGAGTGTGGATGACTGTTTGGGATGTGGAAGACCCTTTTTTCTAAGTTGAGGAGTGGTGAGGGGCAGGCAAGGGAAGGGAGAACCAGTAACTGGAGGATCATGTAGGTATAAGGACTCTCCTCATAAGAGAGGAAACACTCAAACTTATTTACATGCAGGAAAGTAGCCAAAAGTATTGGACAGGTTAAAATTGAATGAAATTCAGGACAGTTAAATGAAGCAAACTCCCTGAGGATAAGGAAAGAGATGAGATCAAAAGGGTATGGAGGGACCAGGATATGGAGAAATTAAAACCCTCATGCATTGCAGGTGGGCGAACAATATGGTGTAGCTGCTGTAGATAACACTTTGGCAGTTCTACAAAAAATTAAGCATTGAATTACCATATGACCCAGCAATGCCACACAAAAGAATTGAAAAGAGGGACTCAGACAGATACTTGTACACAAATTTTCATTGCAGCATTATTCACAATAACCAAAAGGAAGAAAAACCTAGTTGCATGAACAACTAGGTAAACAAAATGTGGTATATGTAAACAATGGAATATTATTCAGTCATAAGAACAGATGAACTTCTGATACATGCTACAACATGGAACCTTGAAAACATTATGCCAAGTGAAATAAGCCAAATATGGTATGATTTTATTTATAGGAAATACTTAAAATAGGCAAATTTGTAGAGACACCAAGTAGATTAGAGGTTATCAAGGGCCAGGAGAAAGGGTTATTGCTTAATGGAGTTTCTGTTTGAGGTAATGGAAGAGTTTGAAAAATAGATAAAGGTGATGATTACACAACATCATGAATGTAATTAATGCCACTGAATTATACACATAAAAATAGTTAAAATGGCCTAGTTCATGTTATATGTGTTTTACCACAATAAAATGTAATGTCAGCCATAATACACACGATTTGGTCTATGATTTGGTTCAGTTTGGTCAGTAAAAAATTCAACTATTTTATTTTTAAAAAAAGAATATAAAGGGATTAATTCTAAGCAAGACAAAGATATCTTCCTCTATCTTTCTTGCCCTTCCACTATACCCCAGTGTTCTAGGGGCATAAGTCAGGATGTGTGTAGATACAGCTAAGAGTGCCCTTGTCCTCAGGGACATTAGGGAGTTCGTGACAGTCTCAATTAACTTTGCTAAACGAGAGGCTCCTTCGCTTAGAGTGGACAGGATGGATGGAGTTTTAATAAGAAACTAGAGGAGAGCAATGAAGGTTAAGAATGGCCAACAAAGGGAATGGAAGACGGAGCTGACCAAGGATAAACAAAAGAACTGTTGAGGTATTCTACTGACCCAGCTGAGATGGGTACACTGCACAAGTACAATGTTTCATCTTTATGGTTTCTTGATTTATTTCCAGCTGCATCAGGTATAGGGGTCAGAAAAGCTAGACTGCTCCTAGGTGGAGTGTTTGTGACATGGACACAGTGGAGGACTGATAGCCTAAGAGAATATGTAAAAGAATGATTCCCAGGGCCAGTTATAAGATATAGACTTGGTACAAAAGAGGAACCCGAAGGAGACTCATAACCCTGGAAAAAGTGGAGTTGAAATGAAAAAGTGAGTGTAATTAGAGTGATGAGTGAGAGATAGAATAGGATATTGGACGTCCAGTGTTGGCAGAGGTAGGACTTTTCTGGTTGTTGACATAAGAGTTGGTTTTAAAAGTGAAGGTGAAGTTGTAGAAATATTCGGTGTATTAGATTAATTTCTGTCTACATGTGGATGAAAACGTGTAATGGATTAATAATAGTAGATGCTTATTTCTTGCTCATATAAATAGTCCAAGGTGGTCAGTGGGGGTATCTGCTTCACTGTAATTCAAGAACCCAGGCCGATGGAGGCTCTGTCATCTTCAGCCAGAAGCTGTCAAGGTCATCTGGGCATTGACATCCAGTTAGTATAAGGATAAAGAGCAAGGAGTGCGCATATGTGGTTTTTTGGGGCAGGCCTGAAAGAGATGCATACCCACCTTTTCCCATGTCATTGGCCAGACATGGACATACCAAATTGCAAGGAAGTCTGGGAAATGTGTAGTTGTGTGTCCTGGAAAAAGAGCAACTGGCAGCCCTTGCTACACATGAGCTTTAAAGCCATTTTTAAAGCATTTGTTGTTGTCATGCTGCTACTTAGTTTTGTCCTTGAGCCCAGAGATAAATTTCAAAAAGGCTAACTTTAGAAGATGAAATGAAGTGAAGAAGCCTTATCTGATCATACATGAAAAGCCTTCACTTCTAGTTCTGTTCCTTATATCTGCTTTTTTTTTTTTTTAAATCTAGGCAGACATCTCTGTAACCCAGTTTCCTCATTTGATGAAGTGAGTTGCATTCTTTCTACATCAGAAATGTGTACAAGGTTTTTTAGATTTTTTTGTTTTTGTTTTGTTTTGTTTTGTTTTGTTTTGGTGATAGAGCCCCTTTATCACCCACTTTGGCCCAGCAGCAAATATTAAATAACACAGGGAGATGCCTATTTAGTCACTGAAGGCATTAGTCCTCACAAATTAGCCAAAATGGATTTTGTGCCTGATTTAAGTACAAGACCTATTTTGCTTCTGACTGTTAGTTTAATAAATGAGGTAAAGACTTCTTTTTGAGTCACACAAATATATTCTCTCTGTTAACAAGTTGGTCAGTGTTGCTCTTTGAAATTAGGTGAACTCTCCCCCAACATGTATATTATCCACCCTAAATTTTCCACCAATAGGAATGTAAGACAAGCACAGCATCAGCTGAGAGTCATTGGCTGATAATGTTGAGTCACAGTTACTCTACCCACAATGAGCTGCAGAAGGCAGGGAGGGGCGAGGACACTGTAGAGGACAGCTACACCAAAGAGGAATTTCTTCCCCAGAAGAGAATTTGTCCCAAGAACCATGTGATCACATTCAAAGGATCTTAGTGTAGACTTGAGTAGTTTACCATCTTCCTTTCTAAAGTTAAACGGAAATCCTTCAAACAATAAGCTCTGTGCCTTGGTGGGGAAAGATCTTTTAAAGAAACATGGTGAATTACTACAAAATACTAGGAGTGCCTCAAAATGCTTCCTCCTCTGATATTAAGAAGGCTTATCACCGGTTAGCTCTTCAGGTACACCCAGACAAGAACCCAGAAAACAAGGAGGCAGCTGAGGAGAAATTCAGACAAGTAGCCAAGGCCTATGAGGTCTTGTCTGACGCTGAGAAACGCAACGACTATGACAAGTCCAGAGGGAATCACATCAAAAGAGAAAACAGAGGAGATGGCAGAGACAAAAACTATTTGAAGGAAGAACTGTGGTTTAAGAGGCCACACTCTGGCTTTCAAAATGTGTTTGAAGATGAAGACCTCTTCTCAGGAGATTGTGTTCCCGCTGGCTGTGCAGGTGGGGCCAGGAGATCCCGTTCCTCCTTCTTCGATGTGATCCCCATACTGGACACAGGATTTTCCACTTTTGTACCCCTGGGCTCCAGACCAAGTCCCTCTTCCTCTGGAACATTTGTGCCCTTCGTAAGCAGTGGAATGGGAAAGTTCAGATTGGTCACCACTTGTAGCCAGATAGTCAATGGCAGGAGAGTTGTTACAAAGAAAGTTCTAGAAAATGTGAGAGGGAAGACTGAAGTGGAAGAAGAAAGCCTACTTCACCAGATTGCTCCAGGTCATTGGTAAGACGTTGCTGCTATATTCTTTCACAGGGAGATTTTCCTGTGAAGCTGGTAAGTGATGCTTGTCAGAGACAGAATTGGAATTTGAGAGTGTGTTGAACTGGAATGGACAGAGGTCAGCTTAGTCCAAACCTCTCATTTCGCAGAGGAAGTGAATAATGGGTCAGATGTTACGCAAGGAACTAGGAAGCAGCAGAGTTTGGCCTTTAGACCCAAGTCCTCTGATTCTAAATTGATCCTTTGTTTCCCTTGCACTATATTTGGAACATCAGAGACCACCACCACAAATATGGCCACCTGAGTCAAGGCCCTAATATCATAAACCTCATCGATTTCTCTTCAGCTTTTCTCCTGCCCTACCTTGCTGTTGTGCAGTTGGCTCTTTCTTAATGGTTTCTCTTTTTCTCTTTCTAGCCTCTTTCTCTTAGGATTTTCTCTTCCCACCTCATCATCTTTCCATACATTTCCAATGGACCATGTCACAGTTAGGCTCAACTAGAAAAGCTACTTAGGTGTAGATTAATGTTGACAGAGAGAAAGAGTGAAAAGTAAATGGGTTTAGATTTTTTATATACTTTTTTTTAATAGCTAGCATTTATTGAGTACTCAGTAGATGTCAGGAATTCTACTTCATGTGTGTTGTCTCAATAATACTTTCAGGAGTGAAATATAGTAGCTATCCCCTGCCTCCTGCCCATCATAAAGATAAGGAAATGAAACTTACAGAGATTAAGTGACTGGTCCCAGGCCCCACCTAATAAGTGATAAAATAGTGTCTTACTCTAAAACATATGCTTATCTACTGAGCTGTAACATCTATAGATCCTATTCATTTATTTGTAGATCTAGGATCTTGCCTTCATTGAGAATTTATACCTGACATCTCTAAACCCTACTTCCATGCATGAATACTTGCTGGAACTTTCTAGTATGCAAACATTTTGAATTTTATTGCCCAACAGGTACTTGGTTACTCTTGGTTACTCTTAACATGAAGACAGAAAACAGAAGCAATGTAAAAAGTTTCAGTGAAACTAATAAATGATTATCCCTCAACACAGATGTGTAAACAGGATCCAAAGATATGAATTATCTTTTTTTCTTTTTTGGCTTTAATCATTATCTACATGCAAAGTTATAGGATTTTTATTTGTTTAACTGGAACTGATCACCTTCTGACCCCTTCATTTATACTAAATGAATGAGATCCAGAGGAATGGTTGGTTCCTTGTGGAAAGTTACTTCATGGAGTCTGCAGTAGAACTTCTATTTTCCAATTTCTACTTTCAGGCTCATTCTAGTACACCACGCTGACTGGCAAAATTTGGATTTTTATTTGCATTGCAAACTTTTATAGAAGTTATGTAACCAGTGATTGGCTTTCTTAATTCAAGGAACTTTCCTGTGTTTGTGATTTTTAAGAGATAACTGTTTTATGTAGTCTTTGAATTTTTTAAATTTTAATGAAATTTTTTTTAACCTGAACAGGAATAGTCTTGTATCCCTCTGGCAAAGGGTAGCATTCAAGCAGATAGCACGCTTCCAGAAAGGAAGCAGAAGACCGATTTTCTTTCAAAGCCTGTACATTTCCACATTGAGTGCCTCCTAGATATCAGGCACTGTGCTAGGTGCCTGACATGAATACATCATTTCTAATCCGAAAATCCTTCAGGGGTTTATTTCCATTTTACAAGTGAGGAAACTAAGGTTCAGGGAAGTTAAGTTCCTGACCCAGGGTCATATAATAAGCCATAGAGACAAGGTTCAAACTGTGGTTTCCTTGACCTGGAAGCTCACATTTCCATTATGCCATATTCTACTCCCATTTATCTGAGCTACCATAGTAATGGTTTAAGAGGAAAGTTTTGTTGTATGAATTCTATTTATTTCAAATGCTTTAAACGAGGATTTCCAAACAGCTTTCCTTTACCAACCCTTATCCGAGGTGAAATGCAGTGTGGCTACTGAACAAAGGGAATGTCAAATTGGAGCATGAAACATGATTTTCCATTTTGTCTTAAATAAAAGCAAATTTCAGCATTTTTCACTGATATACTTGGCTTTTGACAGAAATGCTGAGTTGTAGAAGGACTTTTTGCCAGCAAAGACTTTTTAAAAATTCACTTTGAGTTAATCAAGGAGGTTTTCTTGTTGTATAGAAATGAAAGCAGTGTCATCTCTTCCTGATGCCTGTTTAAAATATGTAGTAAGTTAAGTATGAGCAAACACCAGCAAAGTAAAGAGGGTGAGCAGGAAGCTATGCTGCTCTGTAAGCATTCCAAATGAGTCAGTATTCGTCTCAGTGCATAAGAGAGCATGAGCTTTGAAGTAATCTATGATTCAGATTCCTGCGACCTCACAATGCTTTGAGAACTGCTACTGTGATTGATATCCAGGTGTCAAAAGCCAACTCTCACACTGTTTGTGGGTTTCACTGGTGAGCCATTATTGGAATTACTAGCTGCCTAAATAGAAAAAACAAAAAACAAAAAAACCCCACAACTTTAGGATTAAAAAGTCAATTCCTATGCCCTTACTTTCCCACTCTTGCCCTATCAACCAACTGCTTGTTTAATGTGTTACTGTTTTGAACAGTTGTCTCTTACAAATTAACGGGAGACACTTTGTTTTCTAGTAGATGACAGAATGAAGGCTTCTAGCACTGAAACATACCATAGACCAATTAGAAGTATTTCTTGTCCTTCTGCTTTGGTTCATGTTAGCTGGTTCACAAGTGAAGTGAGGACCCTTGTCCTGTCAAGGAATAATGACAAGTGATTGTGTAACTCATAGCTCAGGGAGCATTTGCAAGAGTGGTCTCTCATGGAATCCTGTCAGAAACCCAATATCCCCCCAGACCAACTGAGGAGAGAGAAGAGGAGGGGACTTACCCAAGGTCACAAACTGGGTGTTTCTTCAGTCCCCTAGCCTGGTGCTATTTCTCCAACACACTCAGACATTCAAAGCACGTTTTCTGTACAACCTGGCAAAGTATATGAGAGAGTTTGGAGGAATGGCCCTCTTGGGGATGGTGTAGGAGGAAGTCACATGTTTATGTAGTTGCAGTTGCACAATGTGTCCCCTTGTCTGTCCAACAGTGGGGGAGGTGGGTAAAGATGTATGTGGTAAAATCATAAACAGATATGTTGAGGCTGACTGAGTATGTACCTCTGGTCCATCTCTTGAACCCAGGTCCCCTAAAAAGAGGAGAAGCTCAGCTTCTCTCCGCAATAGACAATAACAAAAATAAGGTGGCATTCAGCATTCTTCTCAATGCTTTTTTTCCAAGAGTTTCAAATCCCTTTCTATATTCAGGGTCTTCATATCTTTCATGAGCAGCCCATTTTTATTTTACCTCAAAGCTTTGTAGTCTCCAGGGTAGCTAGAGTGAAGGGGGTACCTGGTTGGGTACCTGAAGGGTAAGGAAAGAGGACTCGGAGGAGAACAGGACAGAAAGCGAATGGGCCCTGCTGCACCCTCACTACCTTATTTCAAAATTCGAGGATCCATTAATGGAAAGTGTGGTAGGGCCCTCAGCATGAGAGATTGATTTTCACATTGAGGCAGGATGGTTCTCCTTTGAAAGGGTAGAAAAGAAGATCACAGTGAGTGAGTTGTTTTCCCAATGCCTATTGTTGTGATCGACAAGATTCAGAAAATCTAAGATTCTAGTCTCCATTGATTCATCTAGACAACACATATTTACTTCTAAGTGTCAAGAGAAACAGAAGGGAGTTGTGAAAAGAGCATCTGCTTTGGCTGTAGGCAGATGAGAGTTCAAATTCTGTGCCATTCTTTCCTAACTTCTTGATCTTAGGCAGATTAACTTCTTGCCTTGATTCTCGGTTTGCCTGTGAAATTAACATGATAATCCCTGCCTGTCCTAATTTACAGAGTTGTTCTAGGAATTAAGTACACAAAATTCTGCATAAACTTAAATACATTTTATAAATGGAAAGTGTCATTATTCCTTTCGGAAGCAACATCTTAGATTCTTAGGATATGTACTCCAAGCTTGCCATCACTTTTTTAAGACATGACATTTGTGATGTGATTTTGAAAACAAGAACAGCTATGAATTGTATGTAATCCCAAAATAAAAGTAGGACATGGAAAATAAAATTAGAAGATTCCATTTTTTTCCATTTTAGCATAAGTGAAAAAGTAATGATTTTAGTTTGGAGACAATCAATATGACTTTTTTTCTCTGAACTTCCTTTTTTCTCTATTATTCTTGAGCTTTTGGACTTAATGTCGTCTTTATCCTGTGCTTCCATTATAGGAAATTGATGGAAAATCCTTGCTATTGATGACAAGAAATGACGTGTTGACAGGACTTCAGTTAAAATTGGGGCCTGCTCTGAAAATCTACGAGTATCATGTAAAACCTCTGCAGTCAAAGCATTTAAAGAACAACTCTTCATAGTACAGTCGAATTGGGGTCTTAGACCTCAAAAAATACACAATGATGTAATTTAGTTTCATGTGATGAAACTTTGTAAACAGAATACATACATGTGTATATGTGAAGAATTTCAATCAAATGAAACGCTATCCTATTGGATAGACTAGGCAATCCATCGGCTGACCTGAATTCAGCCAGGAGGAGCAAGGATAACATGTGGACAGAGTGGTTTTCATTGTGGAGTTTGTCAGAGAGAGTGAAAAAAACCAGTCTTTGACATGATTAGACACCCCTCCCCAGAAAGGCTTTGAATTCATAAGGGTTTTCGTCATTTCTTCATAGATTGCTTTTCCCAAAATCCTTAACAAAGAATTTAATGGAATGATCATCTTTTGGTTACAGACTTGGGGAGGGAGAGAAAAGAGAAAGGGATAGCTGTCTCCCTTGGATTCCTCTGCTCCTTAGAGCTTGTGTTATTTGGATGGTATTGCCAACGCCCTTTTTTATAGAGGGTCCTCCACTTGACCTTATTAAGGTTTCACTAGGATATGCTGCGATGTTTGAAATGAACGTGCATCATGCCCCCTTCAGGAGCAGAACCGTAGCTCTGAAAAGAGAAACGGTGTTGTGTATTGGGGATATCCATCCATATGCAGCTCGCTTTCACAAGGGTAATAGTATTTTCTGCATAGAATTGCTTTTAAATTGGTTCTTTGTTTCCGAAGAAAGCATTTTTTTCACTTTATGGTTTGTATTTATAATAATTTGTTTCTGAAGAAATTAGCCAAGAGTTACAGATTAAAAAGGCTTGTTACTAGTACAGAATATTTTTATATATATTCCTTCATGATGGTGTGATTATTTTTTTAATTGCTCTGATGCTTGGTTTGATTCCTGGTTTAAGTACTTGTTTTTAAGAACTTGAAGAAGTGGGCTTGCTACATCTCTGTTCAAAGAGACATCTGTCCAATCTCTGTGTGTGTCAATGCCTTGTTGGATTGGTGCTTTGTGGTTGCAATAAAGCATTGCTTCAGTTTATTCCCAGTGTAAGTCTGATCTTTTCTGTTGGGTTGCTTCTGCATCTGAGATTTAGGATTAAGGTTGCTCCTTAAACCACAGAGAGAAAGTTAAACCATTTTTTTAAAAAAGAAAACTTTAGATATAGGAAACATATAGATCTACAAGTGGGTTTATTTTCCTTTCAAACTGAATTCTCTGTGTATGCTTTGATCCTTCTCTTACCCCCACCCCACTGCCAGTTTGGGGTGTCTGTTTAGCCAAAAAAATTTTTTTTTTTTTTTGCTGTAGGCCAGTGAGAGTCATGATTTTGGGGAAAATTCTGATGAAAGCTGATCTTCCCTCCAGCCAGAAGCTCACATTCCCACATACAAAACTTTGCAGAGGTGATGGACTCCCTGAATTTTCCTCTTCCTTCTCAAGAGTCATTATTTTAGACAGTGTTGTAAATCAGTCCTCTGTGGAGATCATTTCTATGGAAAGTCTGAAGATGAGAGTGAAAAAAACGTAGAAAACAAAATAGTGAGTGGGGTTCAAAAATGCACTCCAAATTAATTCAATTATGGAGTTTATGGAGTATCTGCAATTTAGGTAATGCTTTTGTTTTACACTTTAAGTGGGAAAGGGGCTTACAAAAGAGACATTTTCTATCCCCAAATTCTTATGGTCTATCTGAGACAGCAAGTAGAAAACATATAAAAATAAAAGGCAGAATGTAGTTAAGTAGCGTGAGAAGAGAGAGTGATTAAAGGTGAGAACTGTACCTGCTGGCGATTTAGGTAGGGAAGAGGGGACAGGAGTTTAAGTAGAGGGAAAATGGAATGAAGAACTTGATTAACCTTTCTGAAGGAGTTTCCACAAGTGAAGATGTTTGAGCCATCTACCTCAAAGTGATAACAAGAAGAATGCCCAAGCCCTGCTTCTGTCGAGTCACCCGATACCTTCCATATGGTTTGGAATAGGTTTTGGATAGGAGTGATAAAAACTGCTTCCCCTGCTCTTACCCCCACCTCAACCAGTAACATCAACAAGACAAAAGCTTGCTTCTCTTCGTGTAAATGTTCAGAGAGGGGAACCAGGGAGTCCCTGGTATGACTCTTGATGATGCTAGGAATATCTTTTTGCTTCATCATCCATGATATTCATTCCCAGAATTTCACTGCCCAATATGGCTGCTTCGGCTCTTGCCATTACCACTTTAATTCTAACCAATGAAGAAAAGAAAAGGGAAAAGGTACATACCTCTTTCTTTTAAGGACACGTCCAGGAAACTTTATAATACTTCCACTTATATCTTGCTGTCCAGAATTCAGTTACATTGCCATAACTAAGCTGCAAAGGAGGCTTGAAATATCTCTTCTTTTTATTAGAGACCATGGGCCCAATTAAAATTTAAAAGTCCCTTTATTCTGTAGGTAAAAAAGAAAAAAATATTGGGTGATGACTTTTCGTCACCAGTCAGTTGGCCATTGAACACTTGGAGCAAATGATACTGAAGGTGTGTCTAGTCTAGATTCAAACTTGGGCTCACACTCCTTTTAGTCTCTAGATGTTTTTATCACAGTCACCTCCTACAATTATTGGAAGCTTTGTTCACTAATCCCAATCTAACTCAATTAAGCTTTAAATCTGGACTGCTCTATAAATGCTTGTCAGAAAAAAAGAAAAGGAAAATATCTTAATTGAAAAGCAAACAGAAAAAAATCAAATCATTCCTCAGCCTCTGTTGACAGCTTTCAGGCAAAATTAGCAAATTAAAGATAGTCTGCCTTTCTTACACCCAGAATAACGAACTATGACAGGCGGGCCTGAGTGCCCTGGCAATAACTGAAGATGCCTTCATTCCTTCCTCCTCCCACTCCCAATCCAGGAGAAAAGCAATGTGATCAAAATAGGCCATAGAGAGCTGGCTGGAAGTACTTGAAATTCAGCAGGTAGGCAGCCTTTGTCTCCAGACAGCAGTAAAACCATAGACGTCTGAGTCCTTTTCAGATCACACCAGATTTCTATTAATGTGATCTGGGTCTGCAGTGAGTAGAAAATACACATGCCACGTGGGGAAGCACTTCATGAGTGCAAGTGGGAATGAGCATGCCTTGATGCCAATAGATTTTATGTGAGAACTGTTTAGTGTTGAATTTGATTATTTTCAAATGGAGGGGCGTACAGGGTATAAGAACCACAAGGTATTTAAAAATTGCCATTCCACGTCCCCTCCCTACCCCACATTTAAACCTCAGACTCTACAAAAGGCATTTAATGACTTAATTTAAAGGTAAGTTCACGAACTGGTCGCTTTTCAGTGGAATCTAAGCTGACATGTTATCCTTTGGCCAGTCCAGTATGTGTCTGTTTGCACCGCTACATTTGCAATCCTCTAGGTGAGACTGAAAGTTCTAATTTATTACACTCTCTTAATTTCTGAATATTTTGCAACCAGCAATGCACACTTTTACATTACCTCTCTGGACCCTAAAGGTGTATGAAAATTAGACTCCTGATCTAAAGCAAAGAACACACAGAGAGCCTCCTTAGAGTAAGTTAATTCAGAAACCAGAAATCGCCAAGCAGATTTCAATGAAAAGAAAACAAGTTGGCATATGGCATTAGAGTGTGCAGCAGATTTGAGTATCATTTTTGATACTTAGTGGACATGATGAATATGATGAAAAATAGACCAATTGCTGGCAGTCTCTTCATTCTGTGCTCAAGAAATATCCCATGTGAGCATGGATACAGTCCCTCTGAGCTTAGGATACACTGTCAGGGCACACACTGTCCTTCCTTGCATTAGTGAAATATATCTTTGGAGGAATTTAATTTGGAAAAGTCTAATGACCTACAGTTTGCCCAGCCACTCCCATATTTGGAAGCAGAATGCATAAAGTATTTACTGATGGTGATCCATCTGCCTTTGACGGTCATTGTAAATGGGATCTGCAGGGGTCAGGTCTGGGCACAGAGCCATTAACTGTTTTCTGTAATGATTTGAAGGATGAAGTTAAATGTTCAAAGATCTGACTGCTGCAGGACAGATATGCTCCTTAGGAGAAAACTTGTTAATTCTGCTTCAAAACCAGGAACACAAGCCACAGGAAGAAGAGAGAGAGCCATGGGTGTATTAATGAGCAGCTCATTAGCTTCATGCTGTAGCTCCATAGGCAATTAAGTAGTCTGGGTACCATTTCTGGCCAGTAGTGGCAGTTCTATAGAGAGAAAAAGAGATTAAAACTATCACATCCAAGTTCATTTGCTGACAGTGGTTGTCTTATGTCTTTGTGAATCTCAAGAAAAGAGTTGTGTCCAGCCTAGCACTGGGGCAGAATAATGGAGAAGGCTGTGAGTAAAGCAAGTTCTCTTTGGCTACCTACAAGTAGGTAGCTATATTGGTATCTGTTTACATCAGTTAGGTAGTTTTTCCTGTACACAGTTATCTTTAGGGAAGAAATAGAAAAGCTGGGGATGTCAGGCAATCTCCAAATAGAAAATGTGCCCTTCTTCCTTAGAATAAGTACATGGTCAGATCTACTGGCTTTATCCTAGTAGAGATGGCAAGGAGGTCAGTGAGTAAAGTTGAAAATAATGCTAAACATACTTATTACCTGTGGAGTTATTAATATAAAAGCAGGCTATGGCCCAGGCAGCCAGATCTACAAACAACAAGATAAAGAAACATGTGCCACAAGATAGCACATACTATCACCTAGGCGTCACCCATGGGGTATCTTAGGTCACAGAGCTTAGAGCTTAGAGGCTTTTAATCTTCCAGAAAAGTCCGGCAAAGCAACCAGGAAAAGATGTACCATAAGGGTCTCTAACTCTGTCATCTGTGGGACATATCTATGGTAAAGTTTTCAAGTTAAATGTCTTCTTTCTGAATTAAAGGTAGAAGAATCATTCTGTAAATTGTGTTTTATTCCCTTTTTCAATAGATTATACTTTATTTTTATATG